TTCTTGCACCTGGGGGCATTGGGGAGTACTGGACAGCCAGTTGCTTCGTCAGCCACCCTAGTTTCGGAATCATTGGCAGTACGCGCCCACCACAGTGGCAGGGTTCCAATCCAGGACCTTCCGGTTACAAGCAAGGCAAGATAGCTGGCTGGCTGGCTGGCTGGATCGTATACCATTCAGTCACCAATCACTGGGACCTGACCTGACCTGACCTGACCCGACCAGATTCAATGACTAACGCATGAATTCTAACTTCTACCAATCAATTTATGATGCATTTACCGCGACTGGCGGTGGCACCAACCAATCGGTGGGAAATCCATCCTCGCTCGCACAGTTGACTGGACTGGACTGGGCTGGACTGATTGGAGCTCACCGTGTAAAACTGACTAACAACATATATGCTGCTGATGGATTAATTGCTGGCTGGCTGGCTGGCTGGGTGCTGGGTAGGTCTGTTTGTCTGTCTGTTTTTTCTATTTGAATTGACTAACTAACATTATGCCCAATTATATAATTATTCTTGCACTAACTAGCCTTACATTGCGATTTCTCTTCGACAGATTCTAGAACATAGACACACTTTTCGGCGTCCAACAATTGTCATATTTCTTGACTTGAAGGCGGCCTTCGACTCCGTGGATCGAAAGGTACTATGGCAATGTCTGACTGTGAAAGGAGTGCCAAGAAAATACATTGCACTAATCAAGGCACTCTATTCAAACTCACGTAGTCGTGTAAGGGCTTATGGGGAATTGTTATCTGAATTGGTAACAACCAGTGGTGTCCGACAGGGATGTTCACTTTCCCCATTTCTGTTTAACTTCATCATAGATATCCTAATGGAAGTATCCTTAACTGAACGTAATGACTTAGGAATCGACTTGTTACCAGGGAATAATCTTATGGACTTAGAATATGCAGATGACATGGTCCTGTTAGGGGAGGATGCTAACAAAATCCAGCGGAGTCTTCTGAACACCATGAGCAGCAATCTTCGTATGTTTGACATGCGATTCGCCCCTGCGAAATGTAAGATGCTGCTACAGGACTGGACCACGTCAACCCCTAACTTAGTGATAGGGAGTGAAGTGATAGAATATGTTGACCACTTCACCTATTTGGGAAGTTGTATTAGCACCAACGGACTGATTGGCGATGAAATCTCAGCACGGATCCGAAAAGCTCGAGCTGCTTTCGCTGACTTACATCATCTCTGGCGTAGGCGTGACATCCGGTTATCAACCAAGGGACGTGTGTACTGCTCATCAGTTCGCTTCGTCCTTGTCTATGGCTCTGAAACATGGCCAATACGCGTTGAAGACATGGAAAGGTTGACTGCTTTCGATCATAGATGTCTGCGATCTCTGTCTCACGTTAGGTGGTTTAATAAGGTAAGTAATGTTGACGTTAGGCGTAGAGTGTTGGGCAAAGAGGGAAAATCAATCGACGAGGCTATAAAGTTACATAGACTAAGATGGCTAGGTCACGTGCTGCGCATGCCTAACCATCGCCTCCCCCGACGACGGGCATTACTAGCTGATATAGGTTCAGGTTGGAAAAGAGCCAGTGGTGGCCAAACAAAAACATGGCCTCATCAATCCATGAAATCCTTGACAGTTAAACTGAGTCAGGTAGGGAGATGCAGACTCCCGGGTTGGGGCCCTCGGGACTCTAGGAATCAATGGCTGGAGACAATAGGTGACATGGCTCAAAATCTTTGTCAATGGCGCACATGTATTCAGTCTCTGTAATCTTTCATATTCCTTTCTACCATTACCCATTCTGTTTCACTCTTATACTTGTCAGACTGTATTGATCCTCTTCACTCATCTTCTTGTCTACCTCTGTGTGCTATTTGGAACGTGGCAACTCGAACTGCTGCACTTCGGTGCCAAGTTCTATGTTGAATCCAGACAGACAGACAGAGATGTATATATGTCATAGAGGTGATAAAAAGCCAATGTGTAGCGAAGTGAACCAAATAAGAAGTTTTAGCTTACCTGAAGTGTGTGCATTGGCTTTTTAGGATGGGCGTAAACCACTGAACCTCGTAGACGTTCACTCTCCTCTTGTGCGTACAAGTAATTCCCGTAATAATTGGCCAGACTTCTACTAAAATGTCCCATAATTCTCCATAATATTACCATAATACTGATTGGTTGGTTGCAACAGGGAATAAACGTTTGTCGCCAAAAATTAGTCAAATGAAAGCAAAGCAAAACAAAGCAAAAGCAAAAAGAGAACAGAGATGAAGTTGTATTGAGATTCCAGGCGATCCAGGGAACAGATGAAAATGTATCTGTGATATAAAGCAAAACTTATACTTATTTGATTGATATCTTTTTGACGGTACTTTCGAATTCATTTTGATGGAATAATCTTTTTGGAAAATCCCCCAGGAACGATCTAATCACAATATTGATGCTTCTTTGGATGCATCCATCAACTAACAAAATTTTAGTTATTCTCCTCTATTCCCCTCGAGGAAAGTGTCAATGTGAAAAGCAACTAGTTGGCGATAAACGACGAAGAAGAAGAAGTAGCATCAAAGATAGGACTTCCTTCAAGTGAACATAGAGAAAACTGATGCGATGAAGAAAATTCCTGGTCAACAGCAACGACAACGACAACAATCAGCATAAATGCGAGCAGTCTGAAAGAAGCAACCCTCATTTACCTACCTACCTACCTATCTGGGAAGCATCGTTACAACTACTCAAGATCAGATGGCCAGATAAGATCAGCAACATGGAGGGATCTCTGCCAATGAAAGAAACAGCCGACGTAACAAGAAGTAAATGTGCAACAAATATGCAGGAAGAAATCCAGTTGATGGATTGGCCATATTATCAGAAAACTGGTCATCGAGTGAAATCATATATCAGGCCACCGCTCGACTGGAATCCAAATAGGGAGCGAGCGGCGAGTTAGTTGATCGTCAGTGCGAGGGTGACATGAAGTGGAGGAGGTGATGCGAAGAGGAGATGATGAAAGCATGTGGACAGACAGACAGACGGGGAGCCAGGTGATGGAAACTCTGTCAGAGAACCGAAGGCAATGGAGAGGTGCGCATGAAGCCCTATGTTCTTCTTGAAACTAAACGAGATAGATAATAATTTCTCTTTGACTGTAAATCAGTGTTCTGACGTCTGCATATCATCTATGTGCTGAATTAATCCTTAGCAACTGTACTTGGTCGTGTTTAATCTCTGATTTTATTGCTTTGTCTTGTGATCATATGGCAATACTGACACTGTGTTTTCTTTTTGGCGACTGAGATTGTATCTGAGTGAGTCAAGGTTATTCTGATCTTCGGCTCTCTTCTATAATTCTCTGGTACTTGATGCTTGCTGACAGTGTCTTGATGTAACCTTGTTGGGCATATAGTTCTTGATTATCAGGTACTTCTTACAGTTGGTTTAGGTGCTCACTTTGTACTCGAGAAACTGTTGCATATGTCTATGGCGCTACCTAACACAGTTATTTTGTTGATATCATTTTACATTTTAATGTGTTGTCCTTGTTAAATAGTACTAAGGTTCTTAATACAAATAACTCTGATTGGTTATTGGATCGTGTCCCAGTGGCTTAATGATCTATGAGCACGCCTTGTAGCCTGAAGGTCCTGGGTTCGTAGCCTGGTAGGTAGGCGCGTACTGGTGGAGAGTCCCAAACTAGGACAGTATAAACTAGCTGTGCAGTACTCCCTAGCTTGTTTTCCAATGGTTCTGCAACTGATGTCAGCTCATGATGATATCCTCCAACCAATCAAACTTAATTTACACACACACACAGGAAAAGATAATTATATATCATTGTAATGGCACATCTAAGTGAGTGAATTCGCTACCGAAAAGAAACACTTTGCCAAACTAGTTGTTCTTAATTTATTTCATTTCAGGAGTGAGAAAGGAATCTCTTGAAGATTTGAACTTCGAGGATGTTTTTGATGTCTGAATTCAAGGATTTATAGAAAAGAACCAGAAAACTACCTGAAGAAGCAGAGAAGACAGGAATTGAATTGAGTTGAGCGTAGAAAAGATGGAGGTGATGAAAATAACCAACGCACAACAACAACAACAACAATCATCAATCACTGTGAGCGAAATGAATTTGTATAAGCCGGTCACTTCGTATACTTGTTTAGGCATCATTGCGATTTCAACCACACTGCGAAACAGACCTTCATCACTCTCTGATATGGAGTTTGAAAGTCTTCTCTGCACTCAACCAGCATGAAGAACAAAATTCCGCATTTCCAACATCCATGTCAAAATCAGTCATTTCTTTCATATGCGGTAGAAAATTGCACTGTACTCTACGAAAAGCATTTCCGGCAGGCCAATTCTAACTTTTTCTCTACAGCTGCCAACTTCACTGCTAGCTTCATAGTAAAGATCAGATTAGAAATAATCAATCAACAGCCTATTCCTCAGCAAACATTACAGAGAAAATGCAGATGGGTCGGATATACGTTCGTGAAACCACTGAGTGACATTGTGCGTGTGAGGCTATCACCTAGAGTTGAGCCTGAATGACAAGTGAGGAGCTAGTCGCTCCAGAGTGACTTGATGGAGATTGTGCTGGGTGAAAATGAGAGCTTATGGACAATTGCGGAGCAGTCTAAGGAGGACAGCAGAGAACAGAACAAAATGAGGATGTGCTGTTGTTCTACTCGGAATCCGAGGGAATTTAATATTATTATTAGTATTATTCTTTTAGATACCCGAGGGGGAAACATAAGGCTCTATTGTCTGTTGTCTCTTTTAGCTGTTCCCCTGGTTGCTCACATCATCACCTCTATGTCATCCTCGTAAGTGAACCCAACTTCTAGGTACCCTAATCTGGTTCCACTCGAGGATCTGCATTACGCGTGACATTACTCGAGGGTCTTCGCGCAATCCACCTTCATCTACTTCTGCATATATGTTGTGCAGTAGGTTCTTGGCTGGTTCACTGACTGCCAGAGTCTCTTTTTCTGTTGTCGCTGCGTCAGACGACTCCATTCCATTCCGTTCGTTCATTAAACGCGAAAATGAATTATAATTTAATTAATTCATTAATTAATTCATTCATTCATTAACTAAGTATTAATAAAACTAACTCATATTGATAATAATGACCGTAATTCCCAACATCAGTAATTGTGTCCATGATCATATCAATCAGATCAAGATAATTTGAACGAATTTGTTTGAATTCATACGGTGTCACATGGGAACAAGTCGACTGAAGATGCGTGACTACATCGTATAAACGCTTGAAAGTATTCCCGGGATTAGCTGTTTTCATATGTCCATAAAGTATAAAGATGACTACACTGCAGAATATTTTATCTAAAATGAAAGAAAATAGCGCAATAGAGACAGGAATAGACAAGAATGGCATTGTATGACAGTGTGTGTGTGTGTGAAGAGGAGGAATGCACGAATAGAGTTCATAAATAGAAATACAGACACACACACACATATATTAAACAGAAAGGCACTGCTCTACCATTTCTGACTGACTTCCTGAAGGCCTTCAACATGCCGGCATCATTTCACTTCATCAATCAAAGCGAACAAAGCATAGAATGACAGTCAAACCTGTATCTTGACTTTTCATCGACTTTGAAAAAGCTATTCGACATCACTCAATTTGAAGTAATTTGGAAAATGCGTCAACACTGCGGTGTGCAGTGCCAAGGTCTTTATCAATCTCATTCAACAGATGGCTATATGACGATGATACGTGTCAGGTGACCCACAAGGGGGAAAACTCAGCGAGGCGTTCTAAATGAATACAGGACTAGGACAAGACTGCCTGCCTATTATCACCCACGATGATATTCTTAGTTGTGACGGTTTGGATTACGCGTCAGACTGTAATTAAGAGTGAGAATACAGGAATACGCTGTGAACCGATAAAGAGAATGTAAATGATTCGAATTTCGCGCGTGCACGATTTATGTTTAATGAAACACCTTTTTAATGAAGATGTGATAAGATTAAAGGATAATAAGTGGAAGGTTGGAAATATAAGTAAGGGGTAATGGAGAAGTCATCATATTAGTTTGTCAATTAGATGTATCACACACAGTGAAGTAACAGTGTTATTTACTGGATGACACAGTTTCGAACACAATTTATTAGTGTTCATAATCATGTGATCAATTATAATCACACAATTTGGAAACATCACTTTTATAGTTTTCTTTGTCCTCTCCTATGTGTCGTTGTAAGGATAGGAGAATTTTCCAGACAAGTCTTGAATCATTCTTACTACAAGTAATTACATTTGTTTCGATAAATTAAGCATTAGTCAGTTATCAATCTCTCCCTCTACCCTGTTACATAAGACTTCTTATCTTATCTTATTCGGGTCAAGTAATCTAAATTTTATGCTCCCCTAGTCTGACTGACTGCCCCTGTTCTACTAGTTTGACCTATGTATTCGACCTGACAATCATTGCACACAGGATATTAGATAAACTAAATTGTTTTATTTTAAAGGCTCTACAGGATTGATCCTTTCACCGACAAAGCCTGGTTTCTAATTGAGTTTGTCAGTTTGAGTGCTGATCACTATTATTCCTGCCTTGTTAAGAATTCTGCATGATGTGGTTTCCGAGGTTCCTTCCTTGTATGTAATTACTTCTGATGATTTAGATTCCTTATTGTCGTCATTATTATTATTATTATTACTATCACTACTATCATTATTTATTTTATTTTTACATTTCCTTACATATTTCCTGACTAATTTATTAGTGTAATGATTAAGTTTCAAGGCTTCTTCCATGTGTATCACTTCCTGTCTTAGATTTTCTTTGGTACTACTTAGTTTTTGTGCCTTGTTACTTAAACATTTCACTAATCCTATTTTTACTGACATAGGATGGGATGATCGGAAGTTCAAATATCCGTTCGAATGTGTGGGTTTCCTGTAAACACACTAGTGTGCCTAACTTCCCATCTTCTTTCCTTTCTACTTTACAATCTAACACTGGAGGCTCCACCGATTCCTGACTTTCCAATTCATATATGAATTGAATCGCCTCTACCTTTGAATTAATGTCTTCAAAAAATCTATCTATATCCTGTGCTCTAAGTACAGTGAATGTATCTGTCATCTACTTACCTCCACCATAATTTTGGGATGGGGGTGACCGTTTCAATCGATATGCTTTGCAAGGACTGGATTGTTGTCAGGATTTCATCACATGAAGTAACATCGGTTGCATTTCATTCCAAACAACAATTATTATTATGCGCAATGGGATTTTTAGTGTTCTTATACACATTGCAACAATTTGCATATATATATATATATATATATATGTATGTGGTGAGAGCTGCTAGCCAATTGCTAGACATTAATCTACATCAATGTCTAGGTCACTAATATTGGCCGTGAGAAAATATGAACAAGACTGATTCAACAACCAATCACAGCAGACTTAACTTGAGCAAATATGATTCGCAGATAGATGGCTCCACTTTCCGAGGTTACCCGAAACAACCAATCAGAAGCCCGCGTTTGTCTGCTTAACTTCCGAGAAACAACCAATCAGAAGACTGAGTTTGTCTACTTGAATAAGCTTTAATAATGTACAGGAAATATATATATATACGTACTGATTTCTGTAATTAAACGATCTGTTGCCGGCCCTTGTCTTCTGTTGTCACATATATGTATATCCATATATATATATAATAATAACCTTTGCTCATACTATGCGGTCCAGTTACTGATTTAGAGAGTTTAGGGGAGCTCCAGTCTGTCTGTCTGTCATCTGACTGTCTCTCTTCACACAAAACTCGTGCTAAATACGGCGGTTCGGTTGAGCTTTTTTATATATTCCCGTTTCACGCAGAGGTATACAAGGAAAAATAGTTGCGAATAAGCAGAGAGTGGCATTTTTGGGTATCAGACAAGATAACCCTTTAGCATACTGCTTGCAAGAAGAATCGAAGCGCCAATTGACAATGACGATATCAACTAGCTGAGTCAAAGGCACACATACACACACGTACACACACACCAATAACCCTACTAACAATCTTCAGTGTTCTACGTAATATGATATGATATGATATATAAACACAAAGTAAAAAGTACCAAAACTAGAAACTGCGAAATGCAAGACTCACTTTTCCTTAGTTTTGGCAGTATTTTTAAATCTGGTGGGTCCAACATTGGCTCACTGCATTGTTCCACAGATTCAATTTCCCAATCATATCCACCGAAATAATTCATCCTACTAATGAACGGGAATAAAACACCGAAATTCTTAATAATAATAATTTGATTGATTCCAGAAACACTTCTAGTGGTACAGTGTGGAATTTTCAGCACTTATCAACAATATTGCATCTAATTATATCAGACATTTAAAAAGGAGTATTTCAATAAATAAATATAAAGACAATAACAAAAAAATAACACAAAAATAACAAAAAATGCAAAAAATACCAAGAAGTAGAAAGGAAAATAAACAACATAATAAATAATATCTCAGTATTAGGTAGTGAAAGCTATGATATGTTTACGCGTGGTAAACAGTAACAGCTTTAATCATACAAGAATTTATGAGATGTTGTTAAGAATGTTTAAAGCCAAGATGATCAGTTAAATTGATTGAACAACACTAAACAATCATAAAATAAACATTTCAGGTTGTTTTTTTTATTGTCAGGTCTAATGCGGTGTTTGTAGTGGTAGGGTGAGTAATTCTGCATAATACAAAATTTTTTAAATGGTAATAATGGCATTCACAACCAAGATTGTCAGTTAATATTGCCGAACAAAAAACAACCACAAAACTAATATTACACGATGCTTATTGACAGGACAATTTTGTAACACTCATAGTGATAATATAGTCAAAACCAGTAGATACACAAAAGAAGGAATAGAGCAAAGTACAAAAACAAAGTAAGTCAATGTTAATAATTTAGGTAACTGAGTATGTTTAAGAAGGTGTTCACTATAGAATACAAATAAGAGAGAAAAAAAAGAGCCAAAATTATGTTATTAACAACAAAGCAAGTCATAGGTTTCGCGCTTAACATTGTCTCTGTCACTTAGAACACGGGCCAAATATGATATCGTTGAGTTCCTATACTTGGTTCTACGAGCATATTTTATTTTGTACTTATTTCTGGTTCTACCTGATGAGATACAAGGAGAGAGTTGGGAATAGGGGGTGGTGTTGAGGGTTGGCGAGTATGGTTTTAGATTCCTTTAGGATCAAAAGCTACATATATTGATTTTGTGTTACACAGTATTTGTCAGCTCAGCGTATCCACAATGTGAAAGAAAAAGATGTCGCATTACAATGTTTACTGTGTAGGGACTAATCCTTACAGTTCTACAGGAGATCAGCCGTTGCTAGGAATGACGCCATTGCATTGCCAGTTGACTAATAGGGTGAAATATTCATCCTGATTTCCACTAATAGTTCACACCGAGCAAGCTAACATCACTTTTAATCCTTGGATGTCGTCAAAACGTCGGTGATGGGAGGGGACACGAGAGACGACACCGAGCAACTCACAGTAAACCAATGGCCTAGTGGATAAGGTTATGGTGTTTGACATGATGGGTGCATGGTTCGAATTTCAGTGGGGACATTGCCAACAACTGGAGGTTACAGGTACATTCAGTTGATGATTCCAAAGTAGGACGAAACGTGCTCCCTACACTCCATTGTTAGTCACCATCTGGCGAAATAACAATGGTGTCATATTACACTGCAGTACTGGGTGGGGCTTTTTAAAGCCCCAGGAGTGATACCATTTTTTTCAAGGATGCAAACACACTTTTCTGGCGTCATCATACGGGAACTTCCCGTTGATTACTTCCACCTAACTCAGGACCACTACAGAGTTAATTGAAGTTTGTGTATCTTAGAGTCAACTTTTTCTAACCCCTTCTCTACAAAGCAGGAAGGCAGAATGACTGTCTCACCTCTTGACCGAAGAAAATAAACGGTTGAGTGTGTATTTTGCTTGAGAGTCTCAGTAATGTTTGATATTTCCCCTTCTTCTTTATCCTTCTCATCCGTTGACATCAGCGAGTGTACTCGTCTAAGAAGACTTGAAACAACTGAAACATTTTCGCTAATGACATGTGATGATCCAAAGTCTAAATATTTGTTATTGGAGTGGGTTTTCTTCCTGAATATAGCTATACAAAATGTCTGCTTTCCCTCCTCTTAACTAGGCAGACAGTCTAGAATTGATAGTTCACCGACGTCTGATTCTGCCTGTTTCTGAAGTAAACTGGATTCTGGGGGATAGATTGTTCATTTTCTCCCTTGAATAGCGAAACGTCAGTAGACACAACAATA